TTAAGATCTGTGCAAGAACTCAGCTAACAGATGTTTCCGCATATAAAAGCTATGTATGAAGTATATACTTTACCTTTACAAACTGTCGCGTGTCTATCCATTGATATGTAGCGCCATCTGTTGGGTTCAAGTGGGTTTAAAATATATTTAAATAAGTGCATAATATGTTTACCATATATTTAAAAAAGCGGTATATATTTATCGAAATATTAAAAGCGGATACCCACAGACCATTCAAATAAGCTGGAGAAATCTTGTAGCGATATTCCGATTTGTCTAGGGGCTAACCCCGCTGACGTAATCAGGTAGGTAGGTAGTAGACGAAAAAGTTGCTGTTTTAGATATTTTTGAATTCTTATACCGGAAATGTTAGCGACCTTTTTAGCGCATTATTAGTATACATGCGCATAACATATCGTAACCAATACTTTGAGTGGTCGGTTTTTTACTTAGGAAGGTTGTTTAGTTACATTTTAATGAAAAAGCGTCAGGAACGACACATATGGAACATAATAAAATCGATTTTACTGGGCCACAAAAAACCGTTCATCTACACATATCGTTACGTCACACGAGGCACACGTCTTGTAACAATATATGATCAACGATGATAAACGTAATAAAGGCGAAACGTATGATCTGCAACTTCTAAAAAGGAATGTTTATACCCAAGCTTAACCTCACATTTTCACGTGAGAATAGCTGTATGTGCAAAAAACACATAAATAATGTAAAATTTCATTGTTTTTTATCTATATTGACTGTATCTTAGTAACAGTAGTGATTTCCATATATAGCTATGTAGATCATCACTTCGTGTAGTTTATTATCATTTACTGTACTCTGATTGGCCCTCTAGTTTCGCAGTTATTTCATTTAAACGAACCCATGCATGTTCTTTGGTCATGGGCCATTTGGCGGAGGAATGGGAGGAGTTTTATTGATTGTATGTTTATTTACGACGCTATGTGGTTGTCGTGTGATACTTGTACTCTGCTCTAGAGACGTATAGAATGGGTCTTTCTTTCCTATCCATCTTAAATACACAGTTCTGCTAATGGTAAAATACGTTCTCTCAGTCACTTTGTCTACTGGACAATATTGAAGAATAAGTTAAGTTTGTAGCGTTTGAGTCACATATTGTTCGAATGCTTGTATAGAAATAGTTTAGTTATGTTCAGTAAAGTCTATTTGAAACACCATAAACGTAAATCTTTAACACAATAAAAACAATGTATTTAATGATTTTTAAATAACAGCAATATCTGACGATGTTTGGGGCGTCTGTGGCATATCCTTACTTGGTCACACCAAGGCTCTGCATCCAAGAATCCGACCCGGCTCGAGGCTACATAACATCAACAATATTTTTTGTGTCAGGTTTAGGGACCCTAATCCAGTCAACATTCGGAACAAGGTAAGAGCCTATACCATCCATCTAACTTTAACTGGCTTAGAAGTGGAGAACATTTCAAATATTATGAAACTGTAATATTCTGTAGATGATCTTAACCAGAAGAAACAAATGAAAACCATGTTACATACTTACACTGACGTACAGCATCCCGACAATATGTGACCTAATCATTTTTTACACATCTACTGCTTAAAGTTCTGTCTCTAAGGAACGTGCAAACAAGGAATTTTTCAGAATACACTTCTGATATGAAAGACTATAAAAACGGCAGCTAGACATAGTAGCCACTGTCATTTCTTTTATGATGGAATAGTAAGTAGGATATGGCCGTCACTCATATAACACACTTATAGCTACAAAGTTATAGCTCAATCATACTAGCCATTAGGCCACGCCCTGTCCAAACTACACAAAATAAACACGATATTTCACACTTTCACTCGTCATACACCATTATAAACTACTGTATTTCTAATGTTTGGTTAACTTCATAGTTTTTGTCTTATTTTTCAAAAATTACCAAAATTTATATGCATTTAGAAATACATCCATATTTTTCGTAAATGGGGATAACGTTCCAAACAAAATTAAAGGTTTTTCCGGGGTAATTTCAACTTTTCTTTAATCTACTTAAGATCGTTTTCGATTGATGACCTCTTACGTGGACAGTAATATGGATTCAATGTTTCAATGAAATAATATTTATATTCATGTGATATTTGTATAAAAGTGGCATGCAAACACATCCAAACTTCCTACACGAGAACTTTTTTTCGTACCAATTTTTCAATATTAGTGATAAGTTTTATAGGCTATTAAAGTGGTCGCTAAGAAGATAAGTTCAAACACTTGAGATTTTAGTTGGCTGCTATCAAATAAGCCAAGAATCATGACTATTTGTGATCTATCCATGTTTTACACATCTACTATTTAGTCTTCTCGGTACGAAACGTATGAACAAGGATATTTTGAGAAGTTGGTATATATAACCAGATTTATCTACATACTTTTACTTTCTGAAGTGCTGCGGGTTCAGTATGAGCACCAAAGTGACGTCACCGTAGGCTATTTTCTAGAAACTGCACCCTACCCAACACTTGAAAGATGGTGACTGAATTAAACAAAATTAACTAAGTGATGTTTATGTGAATATAATCAACAACTCTCAAACAAGAAAAATAACTTCTTTAGCGTAAATTTAAAGTATTTGACTTCAGAAATATGCCCTCTATTGGCTCAGCAGTAAGTTTGAAGATATAGTACTAAAAATCGGGTTTTGATACCCGTGGTGGGCACAGAACAGAAATCCCATGGTGTATCTTTATACTTAATAACAAACAAACAAGCAAAATCAGTAAGCCAGGTCTAAACTCAAGAAACTTGTTTCAATGAATATCACGCTTTTTAATACACCATTGACTTGAAGATATTCATTAGAAAATTCTCTTCCCACAAATACTTCTGAATTATTTATTTCTATCAAACTCCTACATACTTCTCATCATCCTTTGAACGTGTTTAAGATGTTTTTTGGAATGCTCATAAATTTTCGGACACTATTTAAAACATTACACCACGCTGTAGTGTATGAGAAAATAAAAAAGTAATGCTGCTAACAATTCGTTTCTCAATCGTGGCGCATTGAGGAATATACAGTTAACACCGACTCATAAACAGCCTAGCAATGTGTGTTCTACCTCCATTTTATATTAGAAGGTTAAAGAATAGAGGTATAAATCACAACTAGTTAGTATCATAAGTTTGTTCTTATTTTTAGACTTTTGGTATAAAGCTACACCTGGATTATCGGCACAATATTCGTCCCTTATTTTTCGTTTTTTTCATTCACTGTCATTTATTGTGTGACCAAAGAGTCGAATGTGACTTTCACTCGTATAACGCACCCACGGCCACAAAGTCATAATATAGGAGAGTGAACCGAAATTAAAAGTAGATAAAGCATTGAACATACGTTTTGTGATCAGAACATTATGAACTACGCAATAACAAATCCAGACAGCCTATTTTGACGATTATTATACTAACTGCTCATAATAAAGCTTAAGTGGATATGCTGGTAACTCAACTATTAAAAATAAATCATCATTAAATGTAACCGAGTGCAGAGAAAAATGGCTACGAAAACACGTTTCGTATTTTACACATAACACATGATATATCATAAATTAATGTGTAGAGAGGTTTCAAATAATGAGCATACCTAGAAAACATTATAGGCTTCTCTTTCACTAACAAGAGTTTATTATTTTTTTGGATGGAAAGTATACTAGATCGCATACCTTGTATTTTGTTCCTGACTGACTCAATGGTAATACATACTATTGAAATCAAATCATCACTAGACAGGAGCTGGTCTGGTAAACTGTTGATGGACAATAAATTTAAGGACTCAAACTTGTCTCGCAATACTATAACTTCAGCTGCAACATCATTATCAGAACACCTAGAACTGCTAGCAAACTTCTATAGCAAAGTTAAACTTTTCAAACTAAACGATACAACTGATGTCACCTGGTTACAGCAGCTCACTCAAGTGCCACGACTTTAAGGGCCTTATTTTTTGAAGGCTCATTAAAAAGCTGGTGTCTGGTGTTGCTTTTGATAATGAAGATGTAAAGTGACTAACTATTGTGAAAACAGAAGTAGGTTTGAAGGACTATTATCTTTTACTTTTTGGAATACAACTTACCCAATAGCTGCTATCAATAATTTTGAATTTCACCAAATGCAAAATCTCGCGAAAACGTGGGAGAGTGGCACTGAAAATGTTGGCAGGAAAAAAATAGAATGTTTCATTGTACGAGATTACATTGTCATTCTACTCCCTGCTTTTTTTGATGCACCTAATGCATTGTACACATGAACTCGATCATTTAAGTCTTTTACATACATAAACTACCATTTGCGCCCCAACCCCTAGATGACGCCCCTGATATGTAACAGTCATTTTCAACGGAAATATTCGTACACTTATATTATAATTATGTTTTCAGATCAATGATTTAGAATTTTTAAGTTGAGGATATCCCCTTTTCTTAATGTCATTGGTAAACAAGGGAATATGGATATACTTGGGGCACGAAGGACATCTTCAAAGAGACCTGTAATGAGTCGTACCCTCTCCGTCATAAGAAAAGTGAGATGAGAATCCACGAAAACAAAGCTTCTTCGTGTGGAAAAACTGTGAAAAGTAGCATACATTACATTTACACAAGCTGTTTACATAACCTCCCTGTCCAACTATCACATGCAGCTGGACAATAAAAAGTGTATTCATGATATTCTTTACGAAGACCTATTCGGGATGATGATATCCTCAAACTCTATAAGGATTATGAAAAGCGCCAGGAAAAGGTGGTGCGCTTTGGGCATGTAATCCTTCGACGGATCCATTTGCAACGTAAACTACGTTGCAGTTTTATTGTCAAAATGCACAGTCATCAAATAAAGCAAGACCAGATGCGATGAGGACAATGGAGAGGTTCCAACGTCACATTTATATGATTTCCTCAACTTTTCTATATAAAAGAAGCTGTCTCGCAAATAATGAAGTTATTCCGTGGAAGGTCACTACACAAAAATTCAGTTTTATGTAGAACCCTGAACCTGTTTCAGGTTTCATAAATAAATATACATATTCAGGATAGTTCATTTATTGATTATTGTCGCTTCGATTTTATAGTGCAATTATGCATAGAGCCGATTTAATATTTAGACGTGAAAAC